AATTGTTTATTTTATAACAAAATCCAAGCATAATAAATTAAAGTAATTGGTAATAGTTTTCTTTTTTTTTTTCAAATTAAATAATATATCAACTTTCTCAACATATTTTTTTGCCTAAAGAAATTTTCAGTATATTTTTTTCCAAATAAAAATATACACAATTTTACTTATATTACTATATTTTTCTGTTTAAGGCAGTTATTTTTAAAATTATTATAATAATTTTTTAAATTATTAATTTTGAAATTGGGGTGTCTCGCCCTTCCAATTTTGGGTCTTGGTTTCGCCATTGCTTGTCATTGAGATGCACGAATTGAATCCTTCAAAATTTGAGCAATGACATTTTGCTTCGCAGGGTTTCCTGCGGTGTGGAAAACAATCTCTGCATATTAAGTGCATTTGCTATTGAAGATAAGCTGCAACAAGGGGTGCCTAAAGCCTTCGAATATTTGAGGATAGCAAGTATCAAGGCATGGGTGTTGACCGGTGACGCATAGGAATTTGCCATATCAAGTGCTTACTACTCAAAGCTCCTAACAGATGATATGACTCGAATTGTAATTAATGGCAACAAAAGAGAGTCATGTAGCATTGCATGATGCCTTTGTAAAATCTGACAAATTCATGACTGATAACTAAGTGCATATTTTATAATTAAATAAGTATATATTTTAATTTTAATTTAATTATATTTATTAAGATTTTATATCTATTTAATTAATATTTTTATATTTTTTTTCTCATCACTTAATTATAAGATAGAAAGGGATTTTAACACAAAATTAAAAATTAACTCATATTTTTTTATATTTTGTAGAGAAAAAGAATAAATCAGATAGAAGAAAAGAAAAAAAAGAGAAATATATATATATATATATATATATATATATAAAGAAAGGAAGTAATTGAAATCTTACACACACATATATATATTTATTGGCACGTATAGATGGATGAAGATATTTGGAGGAGCATCCCCATGATATTCAAAGAAAGAAATAAAGAGAGACGCGTACTTGATATAAATAAATATATTAAAGTTTCATATCAATAAAAAAAAAAAGAATCTTCACTTTAACCATAGATACTTTCCATCACAAAGAAAAAAAATCATCCAATCACTTATTTGAATATCTTAAAATTTTCTTTGAGATATTTGAAACTTGTAAAAGCATTCTAAAAGCTGAAAGCGAGATCATTGAGGAATTCTACAAATCATAATTATTTCTTTTTCACTTTTTAATTTTCTCTATAATTGTTTTTCATGATTAGGAATTTTAGAATGGTATTATTTGATTTTATTATGTGTTTTTAAATTATTTAGTTGGAGTAGGGATGTGGCCCAACTAGGAAGCTAGTTTTTATATTTTTCGTTTTGACTCTTTGCATTTATATTCATAAATATTATTGCTTTTTTTCAATGACTAGCCACCATTTAATCAAATCTATAGGTAATCTTGATGGATTGGGAGGTGAAGAGAGAACCTATATATAGAGAAATAAACAAAAATAACTAGGTTATGGATAGTTCTAGAATTTATGGTGACTTTCAATATAGCTTTACAGCTTAATTAGTTGTTTGGGTATCGTGGGAACGAATTCAACATTAATTAAAAAGGGACTAGTAATTTAGGAGAATATTAGGACACTTTAGGAATAATTGTCACTATAATTAATTAAAAAGTCAACTCAAAGGTAGAAACTAGCAACCTATAGGATATCTCAACATTTCAAGTGATTATATTTTCATCATCATTATTTTATTAATTTATTTTTATTATTTATATTTTCATTAAAATTATTTATTTTATCTATTTTTTTAAACTATTAATTATTTAAATTAGTAAAAGTATAATTTCTTTATAGATTCAACACCTGAAATTTTTCGATTAATTATTTCTATAATCTCGTACACTTACAAGAGCAGTCAATGACCATGTCCGAGCTTGCTAACAATATTGGAAGAAGTAATAAAATTACATATTTCACCAACAACGTGCACCAACAATCAATTAATTTGAGACTACTGTATCAAAGCTTTTGAAAGTCTCCCAAAATAGAGCACTGAAATTTTCTGTTGGTTTCCGGTCGTGCTAGTCATTTTTTGGGAACCAAACAAGCAGCAGAAGAAAAATTACCACGCTGTCTAGACCAATGGAATGTGCAGAGAGCGTGGAGGCAAGTCAACAGCATCGGTGTAGACTGAAGAAAGTGGGGGCGAAGATGGGGATGAAGCGGACAGTGAGGCAATCAAGCCTTGGTGGCCGTACTATAAAAGCCAAAGTGAGAATGGACCACCAACGATGGGTCCATTGATTTAATTAATTAATTAATTATTTTACATCACTTTATAATATAAATTATTTAATAATTAAAAAAATTGTGATTAAATTTGCACTTTTAACCTTAAAAAAAATATAAACATATTGAAACATGTATCGCGTTCTTTTTTTAATTACCTTTCATAACATTAAAGTTTATTGTCACATCATAAATTTATTTCATTAATTATACGGATAATTTAGATTAATTTTTTTTAAAACAAACTCCCTCCGTTTAAAAATATAAGATATTTTTAATTAAATTTTACTCTCAATAAAATAGTTGCTTACTTTCAAGCTATTTTTATATTTATCCCTATTAAACACCTTACAATAAATATAAAGTTATTCATCAATAACGACATTAAAAAAAAGAACAATGATTATACCTCAAAAGACTAAAAATACCTTATATTTTTAACATCAAACTCTTCAAAAAATGACTTATATTTTTGAACAAATGGAGTAATTATTATACCTAATTAACTTTCTTAAATAGTGTAAATGAGTTATAATTCTTTTATACTTGGAAACCGAGGGGTAATTCATTTTTTAAAAAACAAAATGCTCCTATTGTTCACCATGTAAATTCAATTTACCTAACTGCACACAAATCAAAGAAGATAATTAACATAAGTTGGCTCATTAATATTTTTCTAAAATTACCCTTGCTAAAAGTCAATGATCATAATATTAATTACCTCACAATATTTAACTATACATAAGGGCAAAATAGGAAAAATATAAGTTCTGTAGATATTATCAAACTAGACTTATATTGTGAATAGGAGAAATAAGGTCCTTCATAATAATTTTCCGTGAAAAAAAAAAATTATAACTAGCTCGTGACATTATGAGAATGTAAAAAATACATTAAACATTTCCATTAAATTACGTACCTTTCCTAATATCATTTTCCACGAATTCAAATTTTTACATGTATAATGGTGCTGACTTTATATATACTGAAGTATATTATATGTCAACCATTACACAATTGAGCTAAATATTTATTGCCTTTTGTGATGAATGTATAAACTTTGATTTAATATCCTGTATGAATGTATTTGTTTCTCTTTCTGTCATGATTGCCCTTCACTTGAAAGATTCTCTCCTTGTCTTGCTTGGGCTCCAAGCTACATATCTCCATTCTTCTTTCCAATACAAATTTAGGGAGACATACTTGAGAAGTGCCAACCTTATGGTCATCTACTTTTATAGGTAATTTGCACAACTCTTTATGTCTTCTTTACATATTACACTCCATCCACATCCTAATATTTGATAAATGGGATCTCCATGATGATACCTATTTAGAAGGCCAAGTTTGATGTGAAGCGAACTTTTGTTCCTGTAGTTGTTGGCCATCCTCAAAAAAAAAAAAAAGAAGCAATATCTTAAAAGAGTGTCTTTTCTTCCTCATTTAATGAATCATAGCTTATTTTAAATGTCTGAAGAATGTTGCCATTTGGAATTTGCTTCAAGCTATCTAAAGCATCTTCCCATTGTTGTAAACTTCTGCCATAAAGAAAAGAACCTAAAACTTGAAGTGCCAAAGGAAGACCACTTGCATATTCAACCACAAATTGAGACAACTTCAAGTAATCATCCTCAGGATAATCTTTTCTAAATGCCTTTTTAGAAAAGAGTTGGAAGAGAATCATCTTTTTCCATGGTTTCAACCTCATATTTTGTGAACTTCATTAAACACATGCAAATAATCTTTCTCCATGGTTTCAACTTCATATTTTGTGAACTTCATTATATTTAAACACATGCAAATCTCTACTTGTTATAATTAATCTGCTTCCTTCACCAAATCACTTTGGACTCTTCAGCCAAATTTTCTATATAACTAATATGATTTATATCATCAAGAAACTATTGCCCCCCCCCCCCAAAAAAAAGTTTTCTTAATATAAACTTTCCGTCCTATTTGTCTTGATCAATGTATTACTCACATCAAGATGTGAAAGAATCTCTCTTTGCAAATGAATTTGATCTTCTTTCCCTGAAGCGTCACTAACATTAGCAAGAAAGCAGCACATTTCAAGTTGATTAGAATTCCCCCCCCCCCCCCCCCACAAACAACTTCAGTAAGAGTTGTTCTGCTGATGCCGCCCATAGCTACAAAACAATCACTATTCAACCCAATATCTAAGAATGATATCAAATCAACCATTCTTAATTTAATTCCAACCAAGTTATCATTGCAAGATGGTAATTTAGAACATAAATAGGTCCATATCTCTCCAACTATATTTAGAGAAGCCCTTAATCAAATTTCCTCAGGATAAATCAACCTCTGACAACTGCACCATAGTTGTTAACCAATCCGTTGGAGATAGATTTAGCAAAAAACAAACTTTGAAAATGAAAGGAAGCTATTATAATGTAAAGAAAGTGATGAGAACTCAAAAGATTTGAGTTGTTTGCAGAGGGATAAACACTCGAATATTGGGAGAGTGTAGAGAGGATCCATGCTTTGATACCATGAACAAAACAAGTATATTTAGGAAATAAGATTATAATAAAACGCAACGGAAAAGAGAACAAGAGGCGATCTTCATTCTTTCAAAACGAAAGCACACTCATATATGTAGAGGAAAGATCCATCCTATAATAAATACATGACTATTCTAGAATAATTAAAATGAATGAAATAATAAATACGGGAATTCAGTCAACATTGTCAATTAAAAAAAATTACCTTGAATAATACAAAAATATCAATTCATAATTATAATTGACATTCTTAAAATTGACTCTCTAGAGTTGGTGCACTGGAGAGTTTACTGTAGCATGGTATAGTGGTAAATATGTTCATGAAGATTGAGAGGAAGCCATATCATACGTTGCCAAAAACAACAAACCATAACAATTATTTGCACTACTATTATCAATTTACAAGGATTTTAATTCATACTAATGTCTCACCCCCAACTTCTGAAATGTAATCGATTAAAATGCAAGAAAACACATTCTATAAACCTAAACCCTTAATAAGTCTAATATATTAATTCAAATTTTGTCGTACAATCATCATTTATATTAAGCAACTATTAATAGTAACAAAATACTTGAGCTACCTATAAAAATTTCGACAAAATTTCTGCTTTAAGTTGGACTTCCTAAAATCCCTACAACCTGCCAAAAAGCACATTCAAGCAACATTCAAAGTTCTACTCTGATACAATATATACAAACCAAAATAATTTAACTAAGGATCCTGCCTATATGATTCGTGGAGCTATTCTAGAACAAAAATAGAATGTTTAAATATTTACATTAATCCACAATGTAATTGAAGCAACAAAATACTTTTTGTTTTAAGGAGTCCCACGAGATCTACTGAAGAGCCAGTCCATTTCTACTATCTGAATATCAAAAAAAATTTTCAATGAATAACGTCCCCAAAATAGTAAATAAATAAATAATGATAATCATAAACAACAAATTAAAAATATATCTTGTGTATAAAACAAATCATAAAAATACAGTTCTTAAGAGTGAAAAACAACTTGAAAAAAAAAATTGTTTTCTGTTAGGACTTAGACAAAATGAATAACAGGCGTGAACACGCAATCCACGAGAATAAGTAACATCCGACATCGTTAGAAACCACGAAAAAAAATAAGCGCAAGCACAAAGTTCACGAATAAACAGACGTGGATTAAGTCCACGAAATTTTATCCTCCCTTCCACGTGTGTTGACACAGGACTAGCACCTCTAATATACCCTACTAGTTGGGTGTATCATAGCATGCCAAAGGCTAACGAAACTGTCGTTAGCAACCAACATTCTGTATTTAGTCCTATAAAACAATTTCGGCATGCATGGAATCTAAAAATCCTTATAGTTCAAATTGTTTTTTTAATTTGTAAAGTACAAATAATCTTTTCATTAGTAATTTATCCCATCCATGCATGTATAATACTTATAGGAAAATAAAATATCATAAAAATAACTGCATAAATAAATTCAAAGAATGAATAAGATATCTCTATACATTATGTCAATTTAATCAATAAGGTACCATAGGAAAATTTGTTTAAAATAGACAAAAAATAAAATAAATAAGAAGACCATTACTTCTATTTATTGGGAAACGTTAATTACTTACCTAGCTTATTTTTCAATCCCAAAATTCTCTTTTTATAGCTTCAATTAAGTTTTCTCTTCTTCTAATGATCCTATCAAATACAATAAAATTTCAATAAACTTCCCATAGCCTTAAATAAACTCTCTCCCAAAATCATCACCATTTATATATCCCAATCTGTTTACTTTCATCCACAAATAATCACCCAATAATATCAAACACCAACATTTGAATAACTATATTTCATCCACAGTCAATAATTCAATGAACTCTCAAAAATCAAGTTTAATTTCTTTAAACAAATATTTTGTCAAACACCTCACATGCATTAATTCTCAAGCTTAGATCAAACATATTTTCTTCGAATTTCATTTCCCAAACTTTTCTGAAGTCTATATTTAAAGTAATCCAACCTTCCAATTACAAGCATTCAACATAAGAAATTTTAAACTCAAAGAATATTGAATTTATTCACCTTCAACAAACATACAATACTAAAATATCAATTTAAATCAAATTTCTCTTCACTGCTTGTACAAGCACAGTAGCACGAGGGAGACTAAATTACCAATAATTAAACATTCACACCATACATGCTGAGCAAGAGGGAAGAGGCTTGAAGCTTCCTCACCTTAAAGCACAAATGATGAAGATAAGAGGAGGAGCTGAAGTTTATGGCTGAACAGGGGAAGAGTCTCTAGCACGACACATGGACAGCAGAAGAACAAAACAGCACCAAGAAGCAGATGAAACCATGAGCAGCACCTCAGCTCAAATGATTCAGCTCACACACATCAACTAACACACACCAACATCGACACAGAACAGAGAGGCAGCAGAAGATAATTTCCAACAGCAGAAATAAACCAGCAACAGAAACGAACCAGCGACAGAAATGGACCAGCAACAGAAACAAACCAGTGAAGGTGAGAAACAGACCTACAGTGTGAAGAAGTTGATGGTGACGGGGGAAAAGAAAAAAGACTTGGTTGAAGAAGGAGAAGAGCCAAAGGAATGAAAATGAATTATATATCCCTCACTGTGCGTAATACATGACCAAAAAGGGAAAGAGAGTTCTGGACAAAGAACCATGGGAAAAATCACAAAACAAACCCAATGTTGGTTGGAAAAAATTTCAAAAAGATACCCCACAGATTTTTTATCATCATAATTTTTAATAACAAAAGATGTAAGAAAACTTTAATAATTCTCATATAAAAAAATAAAATTAATATTTGGCTTGAGTAAGATTCAAATTATAGATCTCCATATAAATAACTAATATAAATTCTATTAGACCTCTACTCATATGCTATGACTAAAATAATTAAATAAAATATCAATAGGGAAGGAAAATCATTCAATTTAAATTTTGGGTCATTACAAATTAAAACACTACCTGTAATAATTCTCACTTACCCACAAGCTAAGTGAGATGTATCATGATTGAACTGCTCTTATTATGAGTTGATTTTTTCCCGCCCATGCCACTCTTTAAAATGGGTAAAGTGGGCCTGCCTAACAGCCTCAACAGGTATTCCAAACTCTCCTTGAAAGTTTTTTATTGTTCTGTGAATTACAGAATCTGGAAGACAGACCTTAGAAGCTCCAGCTTCTGCTTTGGTTGATTTGCTGAAATCATTAAAGCTGCCCCACTCTTTCATCTCATCTTTACATAGAACTCGCCATCCACAACCGACAATTACAAGGTCTTCAAGAAGTGCACAACGCAGGCTGAGTTTGATATGAAGGCAACTGTCATCACCTCTTAAATGTTGCCAACATGTTTTATCATTTAAATGCAACAGCATTAGACAGAGGTGATGACCCTGCTTCAAACCATTTCCAATAACGTGTGACCAATCTTTGCATATATAATTATCATCTTCCGGAGCTTTGCTACTCCATGAAATGTAAACACTCTCAGACATCAAAAAGCTTTGTATATTCAAGCATACAGCAAGGCCTGACCATTCACTCGCACGAAAATATTGAGGGATGTCCACCATTAATACAAATTCCCCACTGTAGTCATATGAAGAAACATAATCTTTATTTTGAAACCATGATGGCACTTCAAGTGCTGTGATAATTGTGAGAAAATCCCTTTGAGGTAGATATTCTAACTGCAACAGAAGTCAACTATCATCAAGAGTAATTACCAAGACGAGCATGTGATTAAATAATACAGAAAGAGTGACCTAACATATGTACCTCATCGTGCTGGATCAGTGAATTGGTATATTTAGTTTGATGGCGATACTAAAACAAGGAAATAGTCACGTTTACATGGATAAAGTTAAAAAAGGATTCATAAATCAACATCAATAGGTAGATTATAATTATAAAAACATACCTCATGGTCAAGTGAAGAAACGACATTCCATAACTGTCGATCTGATAAAGGTTCCAATGCATCACAACCGAATGCATCTAATCGAATTAATCGTGGTGGAAGCTTTGGTAGTGACTTGAGCCTCTTGCAATCATTCAAAAACAGATAGTGTAGACGATGCAGATTACAGAAGCAACCAATTGGTAGATTAACAAAATCATTTCGTCCCAGATCCAATGCAAATAATGATGTTAAGCCCCCAAAATCATCAGGAATTGATCCATCACTAATGCCACAGTTGCTTAAGTTTAACTCTGTTAATGACATTAGATTAAAGCCCAACAACTTTTTGACAGTAAAGGGATGAAGATCAATATTTTCGCAGCCACTCAATCCCAAATCTTGCAGACCAGTTAAGAATCCCAGTGATTCAGGAAGTTTGGTTATAGCAGTGCAACTTGCATCAAGCAAAGATAATTTCTTCATGCATTCCCCAAACTCTGGAAGCATTGAGATTTCATAACAATAACCAAGATCCAACTTTATCAATGAATTCATCTCCAATTTTCTTGGAAGGATTTCAAGTCTTATACATCATCATGCAAGTCCACTTCAACAAGTTTTTTCAACTCTCCAAGCGAGGGATGAACCACAATGAGGGATATACACCATTCAAGAATTAAATTTTCTAAATTTGGAACTCCTGAGAAATTTGGAGTTTCAGTCAAATCTTTAGAATAACTCATATCAATATGCTTCAAGTTCTTCATAAACTGATAAAAAAAGATAGGAGGACCGATATTACAAAACAACGTACCAATATAAATCGACACCAATATATATGTAAGACAAACAATATGCATGAAGCATCTCACCTTTACACCATTCCAGAGTTGCTTTATGTTGCTATAAGGCATCTGAATATCAACAAGTTTATGCAGTGGAATTTCAAGTGGAAGAGCTTCTAGTGGACAATGCAACCACACAATTACTTTTAATGCATTGGAAAGGCATTTGAAATCTATAGGATGTTTCAATCCACAGTCTAAGTAGAGAAGTCTGAGATTTCTCATCTTTGAAAATACTTCAGGATGCACTTCTACTTCAGCATGGGAAAGCGTAACAATGGCATGTATTGCATTTGATCCCTAACAGAAAAAGTCCATTGCCACAAAAAATAACATGAGAATGATAAGCAAGTAAAGCATATTAAAATGTTACATTTATTTCAATAGAAATGAAAAAATAAACCACTCACTGCGTTATCTTTCAATATTTCATTGATGTCCTCTATATTCCACAACCTACTACGTCTGCCAGCATTATCAAGAGATTCTTGGAAAACAATATTCCGACCCAATTCTTGAAGTAAATCGTGCATCTCTAAAATGCATTTTCCATACATATTCTTCTTTCAATTAGTAAAGCTTTCTCAATCAAAACATTTATTCCAATTGTAGGGTGGAGATCACAGTTTCTCAAAATTTGGGTCACTTCATATTTCATCCATCCATTGAAAAAACAAGCAATATCCAAAAATATTGCCTTTTCTTGATAATTTAATGCATCATAACTTATTTTAAGTTTTCGAATAATATTATCTTCTGGAATTTCCTTTAGCCTGTCTAAAGCATCTTCCCACTCAGGTACACTTCTTCCACACAAAAAAGAACCTAGAACATGGAGTGCCAAAGGAAGACCTCCGGCATATTTAACCACAGATTCAGACAACATCAAGTAATTGCTTTCAGGAATCTTTTCTAATGCTTTCCTAGAAAAGAGTTGAAGAGATTCATCTTTCTGCATGGTTTCAAGTTGATATATTCCATGCACACCAAGAGATCTCAACAAGTGCATATCTCTTGTGTATAATTACTCTGCTCCCATACCAAACCACTTTGGACTTCAGCCATATTCTCTAATTGACTCATGTGAGTTACATCATCAAGCACAAGGAGCACCTTTTTGCTGCAAAAAAGGTTTCTTAGAATGGCTTTTCCTTCATGCTTGTTCATGATTACCTCATACTTATGTTGAGATGCGAAAGAAAGCTTGTCTTTGTGCCTGAACTGGATCTTCTCTTTCTGAAACCT